TACTCTTTCATTGAATGTCACTCATTTCAATAAATGTTATACTGATTCTGTTATGTAACGAATTCATTCTGTGTCATTTTCAAAAAAGCTGACATTTTGAATTGAGCGGGCCCTCTCATACTGTTATCAGAACTTGGTATGATCAAGTAGAGTTGCCATTGAAATTGAGAGTCATTATAAAAACCCTCGCAGGATTGCTCATTCATCCATTTCTTCAAGGATACAGCCACTTAGGCAGTCGTTCTGGGAATAGTGCATATAGCCCCTGGTTCTCAGTGCAGCAGAGACCACTTGTTACCTGACTTTGTCTTGTTGGTTGGTGGTGCAGTTCCCTGCAGGAGCAGAAGGAGGACCTGCGGAAGCGCCTAACCTACACGACCCACAAGCTGGAGCTGCTGGAGACAGAGTTCGACTCCACGCGGCAGTACCTAGAGACCGAGCTGCGGCGGGCCCAGGAGGAGCTGGAGAAACTCACGGAGAAACTCCGCAGGTCAGCCATGTCTGCTTGGAAAGCAAGAGCAGGGATTGTCGGCATGCATTACTATGATGAAAAGAGTGCACTGTAAGCATGATGCCCCATGTTAAAACTAGAAAATAATTGCCGCTGCTCTTTTGGTCCTGCTCTTTCAAACTTTATTTTGGAAAGGTATGTTTCAGTGTCCTGGCTAACGTCCATCATGGGCTTGCACAAACTGGTTAACTAAGATTTCACCCATAATTCAACTTATGGAATGGTAGATCACTTCTCTGCCAGACGTGCAATGTAGTGGTGCTGCTGGCTTTTCACATCTGGTCTGTGGTGGATAAGTGTTTTGGGATCCTTTAAGATGAAAAATGCTATACATAAAAGCTGGAAATTATTTTTTTTTCTCATTTTGCCTCTGGGCAGTAGCACCATTATATAATCTTTTGGCTGATCCAATGGGTAGACCCACTTTATAAGTTGTAGGCACATTAACGTACTACAGTATGTTGAAACAGTAAAGCAGAAGTCATGTTTATGCAATTTGCTGTAGGCTGAAGGATGACCTCTTCTGTTCTCACTCCCTTCTTTACCCAGTGGAAGAACTGCAGTTTCAGCAGCTGCCTCATGAGAAGAATAGAGATAGGGGATATTGGTTCATTGCCGAGCTGCATAAATGGCTACTAATGTGCTGTTGCTTTGGATAAAAGCATCAACCAAATAAATTAATAAGAAATTGCATGTTCTACTGATATTTTCCAATCACTGTCATTTAGAGAAGAAACTCTAAGCTCCAGTCTTGGGCTCTGGGACAATTCTTGTTGTGAAAAACTTTTCATCTTGTATCCAGAACAGTGTGACGATGCAGAATACTATATCCTCTCACTCTGTCTCTGTGTGTCTAGTCATCCCTCTTATGCTTCCAGATCTCAGCTTTGGCAGCATAAACAACACAAAAAAAATTGAAAAGTCATGTACTTGTGTTTTCTTGCTCAGAGGGCACAGACAGCATGGAGGCATACCTGGGCTATATTTAAAAAATGTCTGTGAACCTATTCTGCTGTCTGCTTTGGTGATCAACATAAACTTCCAAATTCCATCTTGCAGACTCTGTTTGTTACTGGTGTTTCCAGTATTTCCTTTTCTTATTAAAGATAAAGGTAAATGTCCAGCAATCCCTGCAATCCCATGTGATTTTTTTTATTTATTTCTTAGCTTCTTGCCGTGAACTTTTTAACGATTCAAAACATTTCTGAATAGTGAGATAATTAGAAAGGCATTTTAAACAGGGCTTGGTTTGATGTTTTAGGTCACACAAGGATTACAGAGAGGCAACACATTTCATTAATTTAAACTGTTCTGTCTTTGGCTCTCCAGGGGCTAATAAGCTTGAGGAACAAATTACAAATTCAGTTAAATTCGCTTAAATTTTTCTGCCTTTTTTCTTCACTAAATCTTTAGTAGTACTGCTTTCATGGCTTATGGCTATTTCTAAACAACAAAGATAGTCCCTCCACCTTCCTCCACATCTCTATTATATTATTAATGTATACAAAACCTCTTGGTTATTCAAGATAGAGCAGAATACAGCAGAAATACAGAAGTTAACCTTTAAAATGCACAAAACATGGTTTGAAGAAATTGAATAGACCTTAATGGATTCTTTATTCCCATAAAGCCAGGTGATTATGGGAATAAGAAACCTCTAATGATGACCAAGTTGCTGGTGTAAGTGGACCAGTGGATCAGTAGGTGACACTCTATGGACCCGAATGTCCCAGAATAAAGGCAGGCAACACTGAGTTAAAAATGTTAAATCTAGAGGCTGACTATTTGCTCAATTAAGATCCCATGTTACTGTTTACAAGAGTAGGAGTGATAATCCTTGTGTCTTGGTTAGATTCTGCTTTGGGCTTGCTCAATCTGGCCTACCTATTTTTCCTCCTAAACCCAATGGGTAATGCAATTTGAGCATCTGTATCTTATCTTTTGTGTAGTGAGGCTCCAGGCAAATAAAGTCTCCCACAGAATAATCCCAAGGACTATTTAATTTTTTCAGAATTGTCCTTCCTTTTTTAATGAAAGAGAGAAACCTAAGCACAGGCTGTCCATGATGTCTGTTTTTAGAATGACTGTTGTCTTTCATTAAAACTGAACAAGACTACTATTTCTTATATTTTCCAGAATACAAAACAGCTATGCAGCATTGCAGAGGATCAATCAGGACCTGGAAGAGAAGATCCACAGGACGGTAGGTGGTGTGGCAGACGTCATAGTTTCCAGAACAGTGCGCAGAGGCTGCCGAGAGGGAACAGGGACTAATCGAGCAAATGTGAAATCCAGACAATCAAAGGCAGTCTGACTTTTGTGCTGCCACAGTATGTAAGAATGGCCTGTGGTCTAATAAGAGACGAACTGACCTTATTTCAGAGGTTTTCTTTAATATTCTCTTTTCATGCTAAGGAGCCTAAGCAGAAAGCATGCCTTGCAATTTGGATCACACAGAACAGATGTTCTGATGCTTTCCTAGAGCAATTATTAGAAAAACAAATCCTTGTATAGTTAGTTTAATTTTATTGATTTCAGATGATAATAAATCACACAAAATAGGTCACACAGGTGAGAATGATCTATTGCAGCTCATGCCAGATTTGTGCTATTAATGATAACTTTGTGTATCCCATTGTCATTGCTGTTTTTAGGATCAGTATTCTTTATAAACAATTCGACACTGATGTCAAGATACCTAGAAGACCTCACAAATTAGGTTATACAGGTGATCTCATACAGTTGCAGATGCGTTTGCTTTAAGGTGGGATGTACACCTGCTCTGGATGGGCCCATTGCACATTACAGCCTGGTTCAGACTGCTTAGCCAAGTGCTCTTATCTCAAACAACTAATTCTACTTCTGTATATCCCCTAGTTAAAGGTTTCGATATACTGTATATTACATAATGACAGCATTTTTTCTGCAAATCAAAATTAAAGAGTATTTTGGTTTTTAATTTGTTCTTTAGATTTTGTTCTTTATATCACATTTTTGAGATACTTATTTTAACTCAATTATGTCTGCATTGAAACTTGCTTTTTTGCAAGTGTTCTTATATTTTGCTATTGTTTCAGTTCAATAATGCAAATCCAACTCATTTGCTGACGGATGGAAGTTGTAGAGGCAGAGATGATAAAAAGGGTCAGGGAGTGATTTTAGTTACTCCTTTTACTGTTCGTCTTTTTTGCTCCTGTGGCATAGCAGTACATCTCTAAAGAGCAATGGTGTTTTGTAAAGTTTTTATCAGCTCTGTCACAATATGTCATTGTGCAGAGATTAAAACTGGGAAACTTTAGCTGATACAGAAGGATTCACACTAAAATCTACATGGAATACAAGAGCCCTTCCAAATCTGATAATGTGCATCTTCATTCATTTGCAATCTGTGAAGTCAGTGACACCTGGCTTGGGAGCCAGAGCCCAGTGAATTAGATCCATCTCCTACTTTTCTGCCTGCTGGCATGACAGCTTCAAACCTGCTTTGGTGCAGGAAATGTACTTTATTATGGCTAGTTAACATCCCCAGCTGAGACTGCTCCGATCTGTGATTCCACGGTAAATTATGTGTTACAAAAATATGCATATTGCAGTTTAACATCATGGATTCATACTGAAACAAAAAGGGTTTGGTTGGAATGTTGAAAATGATAAAATAACACTAAAATGTGAATGCTTAGTATGACACCTCATTTGCCATTTGAGGAAGAGCATGTTTTGTTAGAGGTTAGTAATATTGACTTTAAAATTAAAGTTTGACTTAAGATGTACAATGCACATAAAATATGTAACCCCAATTTTTTTAACCTATAAACAAAACTGATCTGTCTATTAATATGCTCCAAATGCACAGATACTGTGCATGCATTTTTTAACCTTTTGAGAGCTTTCACATTTTACCGTCTATTATTTATTATATTTACCAGCAGGTTACATACTGCAATTATTGGATCTGGATTTAGTTAATGATGATGCAAAAATGAGAGTGTTGCTTTTACATTTGCAGGGTACATCAAGTGTGATTATAGAATCAGAGTTCCATAAATAATATTTGATCAATTTAAAATAAATTTGTATCTTATTACAGTATTACAGTTTTGTAAATTTGACATTCTTACATACCACAAGAAAGATGATTAAGTAAATTAGATCTGGTGTAATAAGTATGCAGTCTCTCTTAGTCGTAGTTCTTATTTGCATAGATATTTGCAAATACTCATTACTCTCATTTGCATTTCATTACATATGGACAGGTGTTGTTATTCTGAACTCTCGTTGTGCACATTTGTTGCAACTATTTTTGTGCAAAGACAATTCTTGTTTCATTACAATATGTCTAGTTAAATGTTTCTGTGTCAGCTTAGCCTATTCATATGCTCACATCGAGTTTTTAATACCCATTTTTTTCCACTTGCTATATTACATGTGCTTTTTATTTGCCTGGTTTTCATGCATAAGATGGTGGTGTATATTTAGGTCCAGTAGGAAAAACTCTGCATAAAATGAACGGTCATTCAGGCGTTTGAATTTAAGTACAGCAGATATATTACATTTTATTCATAACTTCACATACTCACTCTTAATAAATCTTCAATGATACTGATAGAAGCCTCATCTGTTCAGATATTTCAACATCTGTTTCCGTGAGAGTTCTGTCTCAGCTGTTATGAAGACAGATATTCAATACTTTATTGCTGGAACATTTTTTCAGGCCTTACTAAAAGCATTTTACCACTGTATTCAGGTGACAGAGATGGAGGCTGGAGGACAGCCTTCACTGTATTGCAGACAATTTATAAAACATAAAAGAGATGCCCCCCCTCCACTGTCAAACACTCCAAATGTTAAGTTATCAGTTTAATAACCGGAAAACTGAGCATTTGATATGGACGTGACGAGAACATGCTGTCTAGAATATGAAGTTGTGACATTTGCTTTGGACATTTTGTATTCCACGGAGAACTCGCAATCTGCTGTTTGTTTTTAAATTAAATATTAATACCGTCTTAAAGTCCTCAAGGCAAAAACAGAACTGATTCTGCCCCATGGCCCATGCGACCAAAACGTGTCTTCACAACAAAAATTACAGAAAATTCATTTAATAATTTGAGTTTAGCTCAGGAGAAAAGGAGGGTTAATGAATGTCACAGGGAACTGAAGGGAATGGCAGATGGCTTTGTTTCTTTTGATGATGTCCTCTGGCCAAGTCATGACTTGGACTGTCACTAGTAACCCCCCCCCCATACTGGTTAGGTGCCAGAAACAGAGTTCAAGTCCATCTTTCATTGTTTTTCATTTCAAGCTCCTTTTTTAAGCTAGCCTGAAAGCTACATGGATGACATCAGGGAATTTTGAAATCAACGTCGTAAATGTGCCAGCCAGGACATCAAGCAACAGTTTAACATAACGGAACCTGTACACATCAGGAGCTTATAGCCAACAGCATGCACAGCAGAGGAACCATTACATTTTTGTTACAGTGCCTCCAAGCAGTGGTGTGCCATTTTTATACATTTTTACTAAAAGATCGCCAATCACACAGACAGTGGTATAAGATTTGGTCATATAACTCTGACTTTACAATTGTGGTATATAAACAGTTTGAACAATAAGTACAATATATAAAGAGGCAGAGAATCTCCTCTGCATTCTGTATTTGCTCAAATGATAAGTAGAAAAGTACTCAAGGTTGAAAATGTAAAAAGAGCCTTGTGCTCCCCACTTGAAGTCCAACACTTCTGAATTGTTTGAGTTCATAGATAGCACTTGTACTGAAGCATTGCATTGTTTTATGAATATTGTGCACTTGACATTAAATAGACTTAGAAGGAGCCAACTTCCCTGTAGGCATTTCCTGTCTTATATTTTATTTTCTGAATCAGTGAGCAGTGTACATACACTGGTACACATACATGTAAACATACATTTTAGCATTTTGATTTTCTTTCTTTTGCACTTTGTCCAGAATGTCCTTTAATGTTCACATTTTCTTCTGACATTTGCTAGGTTCTAATTTCAGTCATAATAACAGTTACAGTATTTTGTCAAAATAACTTGTGCATCATATACAGTACAGAACAGTGTTTTTACAGATAAAAAAACAAACATTAAAAGATTTCTGCACAGAGAGTTCTGTCCTTCCTAGTCAATCTGCAATCTCTTTAGCGCAGTCCATGGTGTGTAACGTTCCAAAATTCCCATAACACATCAAGTGCACCTTTGATGGTCTGGGAGCTCTTAAAATGAACATTCATCTGCTTGCCAACCATGACAGGATGATAAAAATTGAGCCTGCTGACTTGTGTTAGTAACATTTTGTGAAATAGGTCATAATTACATGTCTTGTTTACAATTTGCATTTTTTCTTCGTACAAAAAAACTGAGTTATCCTCCATAAGGTGATTAATGTGGAAAACAGTTACAAGATGACAGTTTTGCTGTGAGTCCTGACAAAGCTTCACTATAGAAGAGATGGGCTACAAAAAATTCTGTCACTGTATTCAATGTACGAAAACTCCTTTTCATCAGTAGTCATACTGTATCAAAACCATACTTAAACTTTGCAGTAGCCTGCAATATAAATCAGCCCCCAAATAATCTATAATGGAGGCTGTATAATGGCTGTTTTTTGTATCTTGGCTCTTAAATACTACTGATTTATTTATGCACCTTGAGACTGTATAATGGAATACAAAATTACATAATTGGGTGGAAGAGTAGAATTCAGTATTGATTCTACCTTTGTTTCAGCAGAGACCACTCTCAACCCATTGCTTATCAGGTCTAACTGAACTGTCACCATGTTCAAAGCAATTACATAATCGAAGAATGACACAATTGATGCCACAAACAATTTGCCTTTCCATGAAACCTTGTTAAATAATTGTTATTCCAAACAAGACAGATATATCCAAGGAATCATGTTGTTCAAAGAGAAGTTGATCTGTTGAAGGTCTCCAGAAATGAGAAGAACATACCCAATAAACAATACCTAACAACAGACATCATAGTTTAAAAGTAACTGACCCTTTGCTCTTCTCCAAAAATAAATTATTTTAAATATGCTTTTAACACAGACTGTATTTTATGGAACACGTGAAAAGCCTGCTGCTTTATTGGAAATAATTTTTTGGGCGGACATTCTGAACTGAATGCATGTATGCTAATACTGAGAAAATATTCAATGAAGGGCTTTCTTGATTC